ACTCAAAAAAAAAAAAAATTAGCCGAGCGTGGTGGTTTGTGCCTGTAGTTCCGGCTACTTGGAAGGCTGAGGAGGAAGGATCGCCTGGGCCCAGCAGGTCGACGGTAAGGTGGCCATGAGTGTGCCACAGCACTCCAGCCTGGGCGACGGCGACTCCAACTTAAAAAAAAGAAGAAGAAAAAAAAATGGATAAGGAGGATTAATAAATTATTACCTTTCTTCTTTTCTATGTGCTTGGAACTTTCCATGATAAAACAATTAATAATAAGACCTATAATCGATTTATTTACACACACAGAGTAATAGGAAAAGATCCATCTTAAGTGTTCACCAATAAGGAAATAATTAAATAAACCGATACCTCAACTCTATGGATTATACAGCCATTAAAATGGTAATTAACAAAGACCACAATAGGCACAAAGACATAATTTTATACCCAAAACCAAAAAAGCCAAATATTAAGTAATATATGTGTACAAACTCTTATTAAACTGGAAGGAAATGCATTAAAACACTAAGTTTGCAAAATGGGATTATGCACAACTGTTTTGCATCTTTCCCACTGAAAATGTAATTGCAGACTCAAGAGGCTTCCTGCAATCCTTCATATTTAATGACATGCATCTCAATAGCTGTAATTTTTTAATTACTGAAAAGCCTAATGCTGACAAGTTTGTCAGTGGCAAAATTGAAAACATTCTCTTCAGAAATGACCAAATGAAGTGTTCTGTTGCCCATCTGATAGTAATTTATATAATACTAGTGTCCAACATCTTCAAAAACTTCCTTTTATCCCCAGAGTCTTTATTTAATCCTTTAAACAAAAAGCTTAAGAGGCTGGGTGTGGCAGCTCACACCTGTAATCTCAGCACTTTGGGAGGCCAAGGAGGAAGGATTGCTTGAGTCTAGGAATTTGAGATCAGCCTGGACAATATAGCAAGAACTAATCTTCACCAAAATAAAATAAAATAAATTAGATGGGGATGGTAGCACATGCCTATTGTGCCAACTGCTTGGGATGCTGAGGTGGAAGGGTCCCCTGAGCCCAGGAGGTCGAGGTGTAAGGGTTCCCTGAGCCCAGGAAGTTGAGGCTGGGATGAGCCATGATCCAGGCCACTGCAGTCTGGCCTGGGCAGCAGAGTGAGACCCCAACTCAAACAAGCAAATGCCCTAAGTGATGGTAAATGGCTTCCCCTTTTGTCAATTTTTGATTTAGAAAATAGGTGCCTATGAGTCTCACATGATTCGTCTTGGAAAAATAAAAGTATCCTTTCATTTTTACATGTTTTAAAGTGTAAAAGTGTTGTGTGTGTGTGTGTGTGTGTGTGTGTGTGTGTGTGTGTGTGTGTGTGTACATACATGCATATAGAAAGTCTTGAAAGGCATAAACCAAAATGTCCATAGCGGTACTCTTAGCTGAAGGCGGAGTTCATCTTCATTTTCTTCCTTTTGCCCGTGTGGTTTTTTTTTTTCTTTTCTTTTCCTTTTCACAGTGAACATGTTAGTCATAATGCAAAAACCAGTAGGGCTTTATGATCAGTCATAGCCATCTTATAAATAATTTTTAAAAGATGGCAAATTCAAGTACTGCAAAGCCTGTTCTGCTCTCCTGAGTATAAAGAAAACTGCCAATGCATTCTCAGTCAACTCTGGCATCTGAAAAAGTGTTGAGGGTTCACAGGCATTTAAAACGAATATTCTGTGTTGAATCCCAAACAGGATATTAAAAAACTGCTTCTGGGCAGTCTATCTGTTCTTATTTTCCAGAACTTAAGAAAACTTAAGAAGTGCAATCTCTAAGTCATCCCAATTTTACATGGTCATTTATTTTGTAGAAAAAAATATTTACTTTTCATTTTACATGTATTGAAAGTAATTTTAAAGTGACTCTGAAACAAAAGTATAGTATTTAATCCACGTGAATACTGCACACTGACTCTACAGTCCAGAGGGAAATCTTAAGTTCTAGTTATGTAATAATATTCTCCCAATTCTCCAAAAGCATAAAATTTCAGTGAAAAATAAGTATTTTGTTATCAGTGAATACTGACTCCAATTCAGTGATACCAATATAGATTGCAAGCTACAAAGCACAATTTACAATTTAGTAAATGAAGCCAAATGCCATGAGTTGTACTAAAAAAGCAAATGATGCACTAATCATTAAGAAAATGAAAATCAAAACCACAAGGTATCACCTCACACCCGTTAGGATAGTTACGATTAAAAAAAAAAAAAAACCAGCCTTGGCAACATAGCCAGATCTTGTCTCTACAAAAAAAATTTAAAAATTAGTCAGGTGTGGTGGCGCATGCCCGTAGTCCCAGCTACTTGGGAGGTTGAGGCAGAAGGATCACCTGAGCCCAGGACTAATACGCTGAGGTAAGCTATGATCATGCTATTGCACTTCAGCCTGGACAACAGAGTGAGACCCCTACTCAAGAAAATAAGTGTTGTTGAGGATGTGGAGAAATTAGAACTCCACATGTTGGTGGCATGGTAGTTCCTCAAAAACTTAAGAAGAGAATTGCCATATGATCCAGCAATTTCACTTCGTGGTATATACTCAAAAGAATTAAAAACGGGGTCTCAAAGAGATATCTGTATACCCATGTTCACAGCAGCATAATTCAGAACAGCTAAATGATAGAAGCAGCCCAAGAGTCAATCAGTGAAGGAATGGATAGGCAAAACGTAGTTTATCCATACAACAGATTATCCGGGCCTTAAAAAAGGAAGACACCCAATACAACATGGGTGAACCCTGAAGACATTATGCTCAGTGAAATAAGCCAGTCACGAAAAGGCAAACACTGTTATCATTCCACTTATGTGAGGTTCTTAGAGTAGTCAAAGGGACAGGAAGTATTAATAGAATGATGGATGCCAGGGGATTAGGAGTGGAGGGAATTCAGAGTTATTGTTTAATGGTTATAGTTTCAGTTTTGCAAAATAAAAAAAGAGTTCTAGAGATTGATGGTGGTGAAGGCTGCACAACAATATGAAGAGACTTAATACTACTGACCTGTACACCTAAAAATGGTTAAGATGGTCAAATTTATGTTGTAACTTGGAAGGCCAGTCACAGTGACTCACACCTGTGATCACAGCTCTTTAGGAGGCTGAGGCAGGAGAACTGCTTGCACCCAAGAGTTCAAGACCAGCTTGGGCAACATAGTGAGATCTCGTCTCTACCAAAAAAAGGGAAGAAATAAATGATGGCACTCTATTTCAGTAAACATAAATAATTTTAAAAGTAAGAAACTAATTTGGATGTGGTACCCTGAGCTGGATCCTAGACAAAAAGGGGTCATTTGTGGAGAACCCCCAATAGTCTATATTTAATTAATAATAATGCACTAAATGATTATTACTAATAATGTTAATTTTTTCATCTTGGGAAGCACATCATGGTTATTTAAGATGTTAACATTAGGGGAAACAAAGGATATACAGGAACTCTCTGTACTATCTTTGCAAGATTTCTAGAAATCTTAAGTTATTTCAAAATAAGTTTACTTTAAAAATAGCTTAAAAGCAAGCTTCAACTAAGTTAGGGTCAATTTGTACATGGAAGAAAAAGACAAGACAAATATATTAGAAAAACTGTTAAAGCAAGCAGCAAAACACGAATGCCTATATAGCTCCAGTATATGTTAAATTATGTTTTAGTTGGGATCTTGCTCTGTGTCACCCAGGCTGGAGTGAGTGGCACAATTACAGCTTACTGCAGGCTCTAACTCCTGGGCTCAGGCAATCCCTCCATCTCAGCCTCCCGAGTAGCTGGGACTACAGATGCATGCCACCACGCCTGGTTAATTTTTTTTCTTAATTTTTTTTGTAGAGATGAGGTATCACTGTTGCCCAGGCTGGTTTTGAACTCCTAGGTTCAAGCAATCCTCGTACCTCAGCCTCCCAAAGTGCTGGGGTTACAGGCGTGATCTATCGCACACAGCCTAAAAATTTTTTTAACCACTATTGTCTGTTCACTGTTGTCTCATTCTCTAGTTACAAAAAAGTAGACTGCTAAATTTCATATTGCAGTCCTATTTCCTTAATGATTCTAGGTGTTGTTTTTTTTTTCCGTTTAGATCAGAAACAAAGGTTAGTGCAGATAGTGAGAACTTTCTTCTGTCAACCCACCATTTTTTTTTACATGTTGGATAGGTTGGTTGTTAAGTTTGTGAGCATCCTGATTCAGTCAGTTATGAACCCAATTTTGCATTCAGTGGACTCCTAGATAGTTCGACTAGGCCCAGATTGCCCTGATTCAGTGTATAGTCTTCCAACTATAATATGAATGCATTGGATATAAGGTTATTTGGGGATATTGAGGCACCTGCACAAACATGGTGGGTCACTTTGGCCACTGGAAGCCCATGAATATGCTATCGTTGTGGGAGAAAAAGGATCATAGAACACCTCTATCAGCAACCAAATGGTGAAAAGCAACTGATTAAAAACACTGCTTCATTACGAGTCCATTAGTACTATACTCAGAGCTAAGTGAAAACAAAGCTTTACTCAGAGCCTTGAAACACCTACATTTTACAGTTTCCCAGCCCAGGTTTTTCTTCCTGTTAAAAAACTGATGACAGGTTATACAGGATGGTAGAAAAAACAGCACCGCTTTTAACTACTCTGTACAAGGAAGCTATGAGTAAGGGTATTGTATCTTCTTTCCTCCGCCTGAGACCAGCGGTCTGAACACTCCAGGGGTCCTTCAATGCAGGTGCAGGGCGCTGGGAGTCATAGGTGCAGCTTGTATTTCTGCTGACCTTCAAGGTCAACTGCTCAGCTTGCTTTGACCACAAGTAGAGTTCTTCTTAATTTCTCTAGTACAACCTTAACTTGATATGAAGCACTTACACAAGGAATGGTGCAGACAAGAAGGCAGCTTTATTGTATCTTGGGGAGAAAAACATGATTCCATTTAAGGGGGAAAAGTCATTGACACTCAGTAAGCAACACTGCCATCTAGTGGAATGGTAACATACCACCAAGATTTTCAAGACCAGACAGGAAATGTGAGTGCATTTGGTTTCCATTTTCACCACAAAACGTCACTTTTCATAAGCTGGTCTTTGGAGAACCTCAAATTTCCTTGAGAAACTATTTTTATCTTTAGAATGCATAAATGTATGTGCTTTCTCTGTTTTACAGGGTAAAGAATGAGTTGTATTTTTTAGTGGGCCCTTAAATTAATTGACCTGAAAGTCATGAAAAACCTTGGGACAACCTGCCTCTCTGAACAACTATCATTCTCGTTCGACCGTCTAAACAGCAACTCCTGATTATAACAGGAAGTTTATAAAGAAGCAAGAACTCAACTGTACAAGAACTACATTAAGTTTACTCATTTCCTCTATTTTTACAATCTAGGGTGCTAAGTATTTATACTTCACTAATTTGAATTCCTGGAAAAAATCATTAGAACACACCAATAACAATTTTGCATAAATCACATAACCCAACTCTTATTATGACTACACAATAACAGTGGAAGATATTGGTGTGAGGATGTGGGAATGCTGTTCTTAATGAATAATAAAGTAATTCTTCTCCAGGCTTTAATTCTCCTTTATATCCAGGTGTTGCAGTAAATGTGTTGATTTGATGACTTCTGTAAGCATATAAATGAGAATACTTAATGAAACACCTGGACGAAAAAAGAACTAAAGTTGTGAGAATAACATATTGTTAATAACCACAATCTCATATCGGCATCTCTGTTATTACTGAGATTTTAGATTCTGGGTTAAGTGCTCTGCTCTCTGGAATATCCACGATGGTTATTGATCTTGCTAATGGGTTCCTCTATTGCAACATTTCTGGGTTTATGGTTGGAGGCACTCACGGATTCTAGAATACACGAATCTGACATGGTCTTCATTAAACCATATTCTTGGCAAATAATAAACTCAGTTAAGGACTGCAGGAAAAGCCAAGTTCTGGAAAAGAGGTATACAAGTGTAGAGTAAGAAGTTGAATCAAAACATTTTTTAGTTTGCATTTTGTCAGTAAACACAATTGAATGTTTCAATTCTGAGAACCTGAGATTGTCCAGAACAAAGATCAGAGTGTAGGACCTAAGCTACTACAAAGTCAGAAGTGGGTGTTTTGCATTTCTCAAAGCAGCAGTAATTGGAGAGTGGGGTGGTCCCTGATGTACTACATCTGAATGAGGCTGTTCTTTTTAGGGGTGTCCAAACTGTCTTAGCATTACTGCAGTTCGCAATAATCTTCTCTTCCCCATAGTCTGAAGCCTTCCTTCACCACATATCCAAGTTTCTGCATCTTTCACAAAATGTTACTATTTGGGTAATCCTGACGCCAAAACAATTTTTAAAAATGCTAGGGGAACCTTATATTAATTCAAACATGATGCCAAAGTCATCGCCAAAAAAGTTTATTAGCATGATTAAAAACATTTTCTTGAATAATAACAGAAAGAATTTCTAAACATGAAAGAATATCAGTGGCTATACCTTACAACCAATATTTGGATTTGAATGGACAGTTTTATTGCCAGTCTTCATTGTATTAAAAACAATTCATCTATTGGTTCCATGAAGTCATAACTATTGCTTCATCTGGGAATGAGTCCCTACTGCAATTAAGTATAAAAAATATCTTCCATCATAATTGGAGTGTGACCTGCATTGGAGAGTGGCTCTAACTGAGTAAAGAGTTGATAAAAATCCACAAAGAGTTGGGTTTTTGTTTTTTAAAAACATTCCTTTTACACACTACAAAGAAATAATTAGTATTTTGGCTTTTTATATTCCTACATGATATTTAGAATGGCAGTCCCCAAGGGTCCTCCCTTCACATAAGTATGATAGCAGACCCTCTCCAGAGGGTACATCCTGGAGGGTACGGACTCTGAAGACTTCGACCTCCATGTGTTTATACTGGTTTGAGAACAAAGACGGCATCATCCAGAACATAGTAGTCATTATACATGTCGCCTTCACACAGGTATGGCAGTCTAGTGAAAGCTTCGATAACAAAACCAGCTTTTCTGAAAACTTCAGGCAGACTATTCACTTGTTCTTCCCAGTTCTGTCCCTTGATTTCCAATATTTCTGAAGGTTTCTCCCACTTGCCACCTACTAAAACAAATAGAAACATTAAGTTAAATTCTTGAACAAACAAGTTATTTAAAGAAGGGGGAACTTCCAAGGACCTGATATGTTACAGGCCCTGGGTGCTTTGATCCGTTATCTCCTTTGTACTTCCCAGTTACCCCTTGAGGTAGGAGGGACCCAAAAATAAAGTACAGACTCTTAGAAGGGCTGTAGACCTTGCCCAGGTTTGCAAAGTTAACAAGTGTCAGAGCAGAAATGTAGCCCGGGTCTGTCTGGATCCAAAGCCCATACTGTCGTCTTTTCTGATAGTTCTGGGTAGTACCCTCCACTACACTGGCTAGGGGTTGAAATAGTTAATGGGTTCAGAAAATTGGACATTAAATACTGGAATACTGAAGAAGAAGAGTGACACCTACTATCTGAAAGAGAGTTTTGGACAAATGCAATAAAATGCCACTAATGTGGTAAACTTATGCAACTTATCACTTTAAAAGATTTACTAGACTGTAAAGAAAAATAGCTCATGAAGGATTTTAACTTATAAAAACAGATCATCAGTGAATTTTTCAAGGGAAGTTGACTCATTCCCTACCTTTTCAAAACAGATTCATAAAAATTAAGCTCCAGGACCAGAGAGAAGCAAGACACTAGAATGGATGAGTAAACCTAGTAGTTCTTAGAATAGTGAATTAAGTCTTCACCAGTCATTTCCAAACCTACTGGCAGCAGATGCCTAGGGGAGGGTGAGACTAGGTAAGGCCTTCAAATTCACATACAAACCAAGCACTTAACCACAAACACACAAAGACCACAAAATATTTAAATTTGAGGTGCTTTTAGGAGTGATGGTGATGCAAGAAATACATACAGCATTAAAAGTGTTACTAAATTCAGATAAGAATAACTTTGTTAATGAGAAAATATATCATCAGCAGGTACCAAGGGTGCAAACACTATGATGGAAAGCTTTTCATTATTTTTGGTGGTCCAGTTGAACCCTCTTCCCTGCCTAGAGTCTTGGTGGGAGGCAAAACCTCGAAGCACTTTCCCTGCTTTCTCTGCAGCTGAGGCACTGGCTCATGACCTAAGATCACATCTGCAGAGACCTGGACTGAAAGCTAGTGACCCAGAGCAGTAGGGCGTGACGCTTATTCCCTGGGGGCAGAGCAGGGGCAGTAAGATCAAGCAGCTGGGGCAGCGGTTGAGTGGTAAGGACAAGAGTTTAAGACACCTGTGTTTGGTGGCAGCAGCGTACTCTTTGGACCCATTTACAGTGCGATTTGGGGCATTTTCCTGGTTATGGACCCCACTCATGATTCTCTAGTCCTCTCCGTGACTCTGGGATCTGCCCCCAAATCCTTTCAAGAAATTTCCTGTTGCTTTTTGAATCTGTCCCTGCTGCTTTTTCTTTGTGTTCTTTGTAAGAACACCCTGACTGAAGGCACCTCCAAGAGGGGGTGGGAGGTGGGGAAGAGGATGAGGGTGTGGGGTGGGGAGGGGGGAACCAGAGGGCCCACACATTTATTTCACAACACATTGTTATGAAAAGGGTCTTTAAATTCAAAACTGGGGCACAACTGGATAATGACAGACAACTGATTTCTTCACTGAACTAATTTTTTCTCGTCTCTACCTGAAGCCACTTCCTTCTCTGTTCCCAGCAGTTACCAGCCCAGAGTTAGGCTCGCAACAGGTGTCCCTGGACTGCTCTAGAAAGTCCAAGTACTAATTATCTGTCAAACAATACTCCTTCCCAGGAATCTGTGCTACATGTAAATCGAATTCTCTCCCAAAACATTTAACACCTATGAGGATTTGTAAAACCCATAAGAAAAAAATATCATGTGCATACTTAGTAATGTGCCCCAGGCTAAAATCTCAACTTTAAATGGTGTTAATTGGGCTACAAACCATCTTTGCACAATTTCAAAAAGTTCCTGATTATAGTTCCTCATAGGAGGTTCCTCTATTTAGTTCTTCCTTTCTAAAGAGAGAAAAAAGAAAGCCAACTCTCCTTTCAAATAAATAACCCAGCCCGCACCACTCCCCTACACACACACAGAGAAATGGGGGCTGTGAACAGAAGCAAGATCGCTCTCCATCTGCAAATCAATCTGATTCTATTTTCTGTCGGTAAGACTCATTTTCTTTTCCTGTTCCATTCGATTATCAATCGCTATTTTCCACATAATGCATTTGTATTTTAAGCTCTACAGATTAATTTGTAAATGTATAACAATATGGAAGTTGACTAAAGTGATAAGTTTCCTCTTCCCCCTAAGAAACAGGTAATAAAAGAATAGCTGAGGAAAAGGGTTTTTTTGTTTGTTTTCTCTGACAGGGTCTCACTCTATCTCCCAGGCTAGAGTGCGGTGCCACCAGCACAGCTCACCACAGCCTCCTCTTTAACTCAAAGGATCCTTCCATCTCAGATTCCCAAGTAGCTGGGATTTGCAGGCATGTGCCACCATGCCCGGCTATTTTTTGTATACAGACAAGATCTCACTATGTTGCCCAGGCTGGTATCAAACTCCTGGCTCAATTGATTCTTCCGCCTCAGCCTACCAAAGTGCTGGGATGATAGGCGTAAGCCATTGTGCTCAGCCAAGGAAGAAGTTTTATATCACTCTTGAAAATCCCCTTTGTTATTACGCTGCTTTTGAGAACACCTCACCAAACAAAGGGGTGAAAATCTTAAAACCACATGTGCTAATCATCAACAATTTAATTCCCATGGGGCAATTAAACTGCTCTGCACATAGTAAGTACTAAACAATATTTGCTGAATATTTCCAAAAAACAATGTTTCTAAATTTCTAAATTAAAAGCACTTGCCATTAAAAGAAAAAAACTGTCATGACTCCTTCTATTAGAGAACAGCCATCCCATGTTTTTAAAATTCTGCCTACACCTGTTTTTTCTCTACGAAAGAGAACATGTTTCCAACATGGATTACAGGGCAGGAAAGGGGGCAAAACTCTTATAATTAATTTTTTTGTTAAAAAAAAATACATCAAAATGTGAGCAGTGGTTATTTCAGGCAAAAGGTCTACAGGTGCCTTCTTTTACTTTCAGTAATATCCTATTTTTTTCTAGTAAGTACGCATATTTACTTTTATAAACTATTTTAATCAGTGTTATTTTAAAGAAGAAAGAATCCTTATCTTTTATTCTGAAAGGTGTGCAGATAAAATGACTGGGATTTTCTCTAAAATAATATGGAAGAGAGGGAGTAGGTGGGGGAGAGGTAACAAGGCTGGGTGAGGACAGATGGTGGCAGGGGGCTCACTGTGCTAGTCTCCTACTTGGGCATATGTTTTAAATTTTCTATAATAAAAAGCTTTAAGTGTTAAAAATTGTTTCTCTCCTTATTTTCTAACATGATTTTTAAAAATAGTAAAAATAATTTGTTATTCCCTCCACCAAGAAGATAAACTCACTCTTTCCAGAGGATACACTGAAGTGTTTACCAAAAACAAAAAAACCTATAGAATATGAGAATTATTAAAGAGAAATGTTTCAAAGAAGCAAAATGTGATGTGACACATTATTCAAATTTCTGTTTTGTTAAGGTGTTGCTTAACTGGCAGAGGGTGAGGGGAAGAGCAGTTTCCTCACAAGTCCCTGCTCACTCAGGAAACCACCACGGCTGGTTTTCTCCCACAGTCAGATCAAATGTGTAAAAGCTAGAAATAAGTAGAGATATGAAACTCCAAAGTTATAAATACTTATTTTGCCCGCTACTACTAGTTCTTAAAGAAAAATGTCAAAAATCAGCTTCCCTTTTTAAAACTTCATCTGAAAGACGACTTGAGTTTGAGACACTGCTGGGTAAGTTTTGACAGGCGCAACTCTGTTATAAATTTCTAATATATAATGATCGTTACCATATATACTGTAAAATGTTCCGCTGTACTTCTAAGATGACTAAGCCTGGGTAGGAGGCAAGACGTGGTATTTATCTGACTTGTGAGGGAATCCAACCCCTTTGTTTGAAGACTGAGCTGGGTTGAGCCTCCCGCAGACACAGAACACTAAGTAAAGCCTGCTGGACTCCCCCAGGTGCCTTTACCTTCTCATCTGGTTTACATTTATTAGGTCACCACAAAACTCCCAGTTCATCTCAAACTGTACTAACACTAAAACATGCTGAGAAGGGACTCGCATCACAAATGCCATGGTTCTAATATTAATTCCTTTACTGTGATGAATGAGGATCTGATCTGTAAGAAAAATGTTCAGAGAAAAAAAGCCTGAGGCTTAAGTATCTGATCACATGGATGACTTTTCAATCTCATTTATAGTGGCAGAGAACAAACTCAGACAAAAAAGACCATTTGGGAACACAGAACCAGGAAGAAGTCAGACTAAAAACTTGCATAAATCCTAATTTGTCTAAACCAATACTATTTTACATACAGCCTCCTTTGCACCAAAAGGGGCTTAGGGCAGGTCTTTTCATTTATAAGCATCTGAGTGGCTTCACATGCCTGGGATTAAGTCAAAGTGTGGGACCCAACCTGCATAACTTGGAAGCAGTAAGGCATGGTAGAGGGCATGCTGGACTGGGTGGGGGTGTCTAATCTCAGCTCTGTGAACACCTTACAGACAGACATCCGCAATTATCTCTCAAATGGGCACATGACAGACACCATGAGGACAGCAGTGGCGGCAGCAGCAATCAATACCTTGTATTAAATACTAAACTATGGCTAAGGCAAGTAAATACTCCTTATGCATCACCTCACTTAAACTTCACACTGACTTCATGAAGTCGATAATACTATCCCCATTTTGTTAATAAAGAAACAGATGCAGAGATGAAGGCTGAGAACTGGCAGAGCCAGGATCTGAACTTAAGTCTGTGTCTTTATCAAAATATTGTTAATCAAATAAGATAAATGCTACAAGGGACTACGGAGCAGCATACACGTGCCAGGAAGAAATCAATCGCTTAGCCATGGCATGGCCAGCTCACTCGGCCTCAGCTCAGTAATCAAAGACATCGCAGGATATGCCTGGGCTGCATTCCCACAGGTGTACATCTTGCCTTTTATCATGTTTCCCAAAGGGACATCAGGCTCACAAAAGAACAATTGTGGATCGTCATGAATTCTGAGCAATCTCAACCCTCACAAGGCAAAAAAAATCACCAGTGCTCATGTGCTTAGTCAGCGGCAGCAACATTTGTATGAGGAGCTTTGATACAGGTTGCCACACCGAATACAACACTCCTGTGAAGTGAGGGGTAGAGGAGAAAACAGGCTGAAAGATCATGTGACCCACACAGGATCAAAGAGCAGCTTGTAAGCAGCAAAGGTGTACACCTGGACCCCAAACTTTTGGCTTTAGGTATGCTGCTACCCCTGCTCACAACACTAGTTCACTGGAGCCTCTCGGGCTGCCCTCAAGTAACCAGACATCATATGAACCAGCAGGTAAAGGTCAGGAACATAGGGACTTAGGGCAAGTGAGGACCACAGGTGTGGACTACTTTTACAGTCCTGTTTGCATTAAGAATAAGGTAAGAAAAAAAAGGAATGGCTGGGTTTCCCAAAAACATAAGTAAACTATAGGCAAAGTGCAATGAGACACCCACTAAACCACATATCTGCTTCTTCCCACAGGTGCTATGGGTGCCTGTACTGTCACCATCACACAACCACGTTACCTAGAGGTAAACTACACGCACACAGCTGTCACAATAGAGTGTAACTTCTCCACAACCGGGTGTCCTTCAGGGCAACCTACAAGACTGTGGTTTCGCTACGGGGCTCACCAGCCAGAGAACCTGTGCTTGGACGGATGCAAAAGCGAGGCAGACAAGTTTATAGTGAAGGAAGCCCTGGAAGAGAAACAAGTTTCCCTCACAGTAAACAGAGTGACTTCAAATGACAGTGCAATTTACATCTGTGGAATAGCATTTCCAAGCATACCAGGACCAAGAGCTAAACAGACTGGAGAAGGGACCATGCTGGTGGTAAGAGGTCGGTCAGTATGGCTTTCTTTCAGTGTAGCATTATACCTTGCTCAGATCTTTAAAACCATTACATCACTCACATGCAGAAATTATGAGATAAAGTTGCTAATTTAATATCCTCACCAGTGAAAGACATGATCTGAGTACAAGTCACTGTGAGGTTTAAAGAATGATCCAATCCCATCTCCCAAAACCCACAGACACAAAGTCAGTGGGATGAGAGTGTGCTACCCTCTCTCAACACTAAAGGTTAGACAGCCACGTTCACTTTTCTGTATATTACAATGATACAGTGTAATGGACCAAGTCCAAAGGAAAACCTGTGAGTCATAGCTACTAACTGTCTCAAGAACTGGTCTAGTATCGCACCACAGAACCAGGGAAGCATAAATGACCAATAAATTGAGCCCAGAGAAAACGTGTTGTGGAAAATAAGCACAGATTTGGAAAGAAACAACTGGAGGATCCCTGACTCTCCCCATTCTGTCTAGACATCAGAGAACAGAAAGTGGCTCTGGGCTTCCTGAGATTTGCTAAAACCCATGACAATTCCTCACTCAAGTGAGAACATCAAACCAAAATCCTATCAGTAATTTCACCAAGTCGTTCCCTTGAGAAGTCAGAGATAAGAAACTTCAGAGAAAAAGCCTCACATGATTCTGGGGGAAGAAACAGAAGAGAAGTAACTAACGCCTTGCCTTTTTTGGGGTCTCTTCCCTTGAAAAGGACTCTGGTATGATGAGCACTGAGATCATTAAAACATGAATTCAAAGTGAACTAGCCCTTCAGTTTCAAAACAGGACTCAGGATTTAAGACCATCCCGTATTCTAGCCCCTAAATTTAAACTACGAAGTGTGTTCTTAGGACTTTTGATAGTCAGATCATTTTAATCTTAGTTTATGCTCACCTGTAAGACAAATTATAAATGAGTTAATAGACATAAAATGCTTTTAACAGTACCTGGCATGTAGCAAATACTCAATAATATTAGCTAATGATATTAAAACAAACATACAATGACTTTGGATATTTGTATGTCTTACTGCATTAACCTTCTATAACAAATGTTAGTCAAAAGGAAAAACCTGTAAAATTTAAGATGAAGATCTTAAACCTGCAAGTCTTATATAAAGAGAACAAAACAACGATTTTAAGATAGACAAGGCAACTCCCTGCCTTTTCTACAGAGCTCCTAATTTAGCACTACAACTTTTTAGTATAGATGTGGTTAGTTTGTTAGTTTCACAAACAAAAATATATGTCATATGAACTGAATTCTCAAGATAAGCATCTGTGGGATATTTAGTTGAAAAGCACAGGTTATTGAGATAATAATTAAAATCTAACTGTATTTGTACTTCAAATAATCAGGTACTTGAAGACACAACATGTTACTTAGTCCCTACCTAGAGCACAGGACACTTTCTCCAAGGATGAAGAAATTCAGAATGTGAAAATGGATTCAATAATTCTACTTCCCTAACTTTATCATAAAAAATGAAGAGTGCATGTAGCAATAATAATGCCTGTCTTCTAAGCAAGTAGGGGGCACTGTGATCCCCATATGTGACCTTCTTGGGTTCATTTACAGACTGCACTCTTCAACTATATTCATGAGCAGTTTCAAGGTGATAAATGCCAGCATTAACGAATAAATGTGAAAATATCTTAACTATATAAGCAGACTCTGGATAACATCAGTACACCATATTTACCAAAAGAAATGTTAAATGCCCTTGAACAAACAATCTTGAAATGGTTATCTAACATCAAAAAAATGCTTTATACAAAAAAAATGATTCTTAGCATTGTGACAAATGGGTAACTGAATTTTTAATTTTTTTATTTTAAAAAATGAGTAACATTTTTGGTATAATACATTTAAAGAACTGGTGAACTGCTTTAATTATCACATATTTGAGGGTCTTTTTAATTAAGAGGCCCTGAATTTGTTTTTGTTTTTTTTTTGAGTTGGCGTTTTGTTTTGTCACCCAGGCTGAAATGTAGTGGCACAACCACAGCTCACTGCAGCCTCAAACTCCTGGGTTCAAGCAATCCCTCCTCAACCTCCTGAGAAGCTGGGACTACAGGTATGCCTCACCATACCCAGCTAATATTTTTTATTTCTTTGTAAAGACGGGAACCACTATGTTGCCCAGGCTGGTCACAAACTCCTGGGTTCAAGCAATCCTCTCACCTCATCCTCCCAAAGTGCTGGGATTACAGGTGTGAGCCACCATGCCCAGCCCTAAATAAAGTTTTATATAAATAGGCAAGAATAGTTAAGTTCATGTTTCACCTTTAAAATGAAGCATCAATTATACTTGATATATTTGAATATCTATATAAAATATATACATATTTGCAAGAGTATGCTTCAATAGTGATTTTATTTCTTTCTGGTTTTATAATTAAGAAATCAAGTCTCTTGGCAAGGAAATCCACAGTCTCCTGATAGCTGTCTTAACAGTGCTCTCTATCTATGTTGCTGGTGTATGTGTGGTCTTCATGCTCTTCTCCAAAGTAAGTCAAATTTTCTTCCATTGAATGCCCCTATAGTGCGGATTATCAGGAAAAATAAATAAATTCCTCCCCTCCACAAGTTGTAAGCCTCAGAAAGAGTTCACCTAATTAATACCTTCCTTTGCATCTGCAGGGAACACCACCTGCAGAAGAGGTCTGTAGAAGGTATTATTTTCATCACTGAAACTATTAGCCAGAGTACACAACTCAGAGTATTTCTCTTTAAAGTCTAGTCACATGGGATTAAGAGAACCATCTTCTGTGCTAGCTTTCTACTGCAGGAGTGAAGAGTGGGGAGGTGGGGAGTGGGATATTACTGTTAGTTATGAGAGCTCTAAGATTAGTTTTTAAGAACAAGAATGGGCCGGGCTCGGTGGCTCAGCCTGTAATCCCGCGCCTTTGGGAGGCTGAGGTGAGTGGATTGCCTGAGCCCGCGGGTTCGAGACCTGCCTGGGCAGCGAGACCTCATCTCTACAATAAATTAAAAAACCGGCCAGGCGTAGTAGCGCATGCCTGTAATTTCGGCTACTTGGATGGCTGAGGCGGAAGGATCGCTGGAGCCCAGCAGGTCGAGGCTGCGGTGGCCAGGAGCGGCCACTGCACTCCAGTCTGGGCGACCGAGTGAGACTCCAACTCAAAAAAAAAAAAAAAAAAAAAAGAACAAGAATGGGTTAATGAAGAGACCAGAAGGAGATGCCTTACAATATTCTTAACAGCCTAAAGTTACGGAGAAAGAATATCTTTTGGCTGTGCATATAAGAAAGGGTATGTATATGTCATGTAGGATTATAAATCCTACAATAAACATCAGTTTGAGTTATTCAATTAGTTTATTAATGGAATAAAAGTATCTCAGTAGTAATATAAAATTATTTGCTCTTATTGTATATCATTTAAATATCATGTTAGTTTAATCTTATTATGGTATGTGATATCTGTCACAATTGTTCAAGTGTGTAAAATGTCTCATAGAAATTCCTTTTCTCCTTAGCAGTCAAAATCTAACATACTAAGAAACAAAGAAACAAAAGAAGATTCACAAAAGGTACAGACCAACACTTGCACAATATTTTTAAAACTATGGCTGGTTGTAACTATTTCAAATATGAAGTATCTTAAGAAACAGAATATCCTGGTAACTGTCAACCATAGATAGTCACTAATGTTTCCTATTGTTGAGAAACTCAATGATAATATAATCTCAAGTGGTAAACTGTGATTTAAATTTGACAGTTCTCAACCATAAATTCTATTTAATGTATTCAAAATACAAGAGTCAACTGTAGGTACAGATGTGTTGGGGGTAGTTTCAAATATCAGTGGAAGTAGAAAAAGTTCTGATGATATGCAACAATCCTGACTTACAGTCCTAAAAGAGTTATTTTTTTTCTCATGTGTATTTATAGAAGAAGAGTGCTCGGCGTATTTTTCAGGAAATTGCTCAAGAACTATACCATAAGAGACACGTGGGAACAAGTCAACAATCTGTAAGTGTAAAATATTTTAAAAAGTCATACAGACATAAAGTATGTTTGAAAAAACCAAACCAAGCTGCCAACGAGCTGTCAATAATCATATCTTCCTTCAGAACAGTATGAAAGAGGACCTTCACATGAAATGCATTTTTAAATAGAACCTGTTTTGATAAATACATAACAAAGGACATCTGTTACACTATTAAATAGCCCCAGGCTGGCATCTTAATAACACAGAAACTTTCAGAAACACATTGGATAGAGGCAATGTTTTCAAAATAGACAAGGATGAATTAAAAGCTACTTTATACAGTATCTTGCATGAGACAGTAGGTATTAATGTTGCAAACATTTATGGATCACATTATGAAGAAAGAACTACATGTTACTGATAAGGCAAAAATAAATTCACATTAGAAAAGATAGAAGCTAATGATATAGAAATGAGTATTTCTTCAGTCTTTGGAGTTGAAGCAAAAGGAAGAATATATCTACATTATTTGTAATACATTCTGACTGTATTTCTTCAAAGTCCTATATAAACAGGTTTTTAAAACAAGATGCTAGAAGATACTTTGTTTCCATGATGAATGATCAGATAGCTCAGATTTAAACTAAAATGTACACAAAATAATATGAATTCATATACTAGTAAAGATATTTTCCTCCTAAACAGCAGCCAAGAGGACAACTACAACAGGAAACTAATATTAAGTGTTTTTTAATCCAGTTTTTAAAAAGGAATTTTACCAAAAAGAGAATATTCTACAAATAGTCATTTCATCCTTCAGTGTATATAAAAATATATAAAGATGCTGGGTGGTCTAATTACCTAAGATGGCCCACTGAATAATTATAAATGTCTGTTAACACCTTTTTCTTACTGAGGCTGGGCATTTAGCAAAGAGACAAAAGGTTATGTGGCCTGAAGGCAGGCCTGGAAGTGAGAATTGGTAAGTTCCTAGCCAGGGTTCTGAGAATAGCATCTGAAGAAGACAATCAACTTTCAGTTCCTACATCCTACTCTAAATATGTGTAGGGAGGATGGCAGATGATTGTAAGGGTACTTGGGACCCAGATTGCAGGATGGTATCATGGCTTTTATGTTGGTTACATAACCTTAAACATGGCTTGCTATTTATTTACTACTGCAGGAGAAAGACAACACTTATGAAAACAGAAGAGCACTTTCCAACTATGAAAGACCATAGGAACATTTTAATTTTCAATTAAGTCACTGAAAATCGAACTCAAGAAGCTATGGCAGTGTTAATGGACGTATACCCACAAGGCCTTAAAAAAAAAAAGGTAAAGGTAAAAGACAACTGGTTGCAAAAAGGATGCCAGAGTATAAAGAAACTATAATATAACTAACAGTAATTACCAAAATACTAAACTCAAAAAAACGCAACTGAAAAATACTTTCTTAATTTGCCAAGAAAATTCTAAGCAGTCTAACATTTTCAAAAACTTTTATAATGTGCAGCCTAGGTTTGTTTCACTCGACATATAAGATGTGTGATGACTGTTACCCTGCAGATTTAGAGTCAACCACATGCCTAAATCTTGAGTGGAAGAATCGTCCTTCTAGGTTGTGGACGTGATGGAACAATCAGAATTAAGTTGGGAGGGAGCAAAGTGCCAACACCTGAGTCAGAGAAATTCACTTTGAAAAGTACCTCAGAGTTAAAGTTCTTTTCTCTGAAATTGTAATGGGGCTAAGGTGTAGGGCACATTTGCCTGTCAGGGTATGCAAAATACTTACATTATGCTACCAGCAAAATGAGAATAGAGACTAGACACACAAGCAAAAAAGAGGTTAAAAAAACTTTAAAGAAAAAAATTAAAGAGAATAGAGACTAGAGTAAAAATATGAAAGTCAAAATATAGAAAATTCAAAGTAGAAGGTTAAACAGAAAACCTTAGAACAAATAAGCCACAACTGACTCTAGATGTCAGTGTTGTGTCAAATAACAGTACCAGGGAAGGTGTGTGCTGAACATTGACTTATATTATAAGCAGATTTGCAATATAGATTTTTAACCAATTTAGGAGGGAAATATCAGACAGCGTACAGCAAAAATATTTATGGAATTCATTACTACTGCAATCATAAAATTATGACATGGATGTTCTTTGAAAACTACTTCAGTGTAAAAAATCTAAAGTATCACAAGTGTGCATTCATTCATTCTTAAACACAAATTACAACCTATTATGTTTATTTCATTAAATTGTTTATCTTATACTGCTATTAAAATACTTTAAGATTCCTTTGAAAGCATTTTGCACTAATGGCCTTAATCAATAATATCAAACTTTTCTGATCACATCTACCCAGAAAATGGAAAGGGGAGAGAAGGAAACACGTAACCTCATTTTATTTGTGTGTATGGTTAGTGCATGCCTATGCTGTTTAGGTGTGTTGCGTATAGTATAGGTATGTGTATGTATGGATATATATGTTTGTAGCTTATAAACAACAAAAAAGTAAGCACTAATTCCTTTTAGATGAACATAAGTAGGAGTGTTAGATCATTTACTTTTCGTTTCTGGGAGTCATTACATTTTGGTTCCTACTTAATTACAGGGCTAAAAATGCACTGTTCTTTGTGTTACAAACCAGAAGATAAAATTCCTAAGATAAGCTAATATTTGATTCAGAATATGCCTTTCCCAATGTAAGAAAGCTGTGTTTTAAAGATTAATTTTTAAGCTGAAATCTGGAATATACTTTCCCAAAAGAAGAGTTCTATTTCACTAGGTCATCTATGAGAGTGCCTGGCATGCATATATAATAGTCATTCTTTTATTCATCCATCTAGCCAATAATATTTAAGGAGTACTATACTACTATACAAAGGCCTCTTTCCCTACCCCAGACCTTATTCTCACCTTCATGCTTTTACATGTGTTCTTTCTGCCTGGTAAAATGCTTCGTACTATAAACACAGGTGAAACGTCACCCCCAATGTGAAGGCTTCCCTAACTCCCCCAGCAGTTAATGGATCTTTCCTTCCCTAACCCTACAGCACTTTGTCACACCTCTTATCACAAGATCCTGCCATTACCTATTCATATCTATCTTCTGCACTATTCTGTGTTTCAGAATGTAAACACAATTCTCACTCATCTTTGTATTTCCACTGCCCAGCACTATGTGGCACACGGTAGGCTCTCAAATACTTTTATTTAAATATGACTGTAAGATGTTATAGAAAATATTATTTCAGCATTTTAGCTGAGATGTGCGGCACACTTCAGTCCCTAGTCATCAACCTTCACCCCCTTCCATAAAGACTGTTCATCGGAGCCAGGCTCGGTGGCTCAGCCTGTAATCGGGCGCCTTTGGGAGGCTGAGGTGAGTGGATTGCCTGAGCCCGCAGGCTCAAGACCCGCCTGGGCAACTTGGCGAGACCTCATCTCTACAATAAATCAAAAATTAGCTGGCCATGGTAGCGCGCTCCTGTAGTTCCAGCTACTTGGAAGGCTGAGGCGGAAGGATCGCCGGAGCCCAGCAGGTCGAGGCTGCAGGGCCTCCAGTCTGGGCGACAGAGTGAGACTCCAACTCAAAAAAAAGAAAAAAAGACTGTTCATCAAAGCCCTAGCAGTATTAATTTTCCTGCTGAGCATCCAGAAATATCTTCACTGGAAAGGATTAAGCTGTAACTTTCTGTTTAGATTTGAGTTTCCCATGACAATAAAAAGAGAAAATTACTGAAACAACTTTTTAGTTTTAGTTCAGGCTATTATAACAAATTATTGTTGACCGGGTGGTTTATAAACAACACATACTCATTTCTTTCAGTTCTGGAAGTGGGAAATCTGAGCTCAGGGTGCCAGAATGGTTGGGTTCTCGTAAGGACCCTCCTTTCTAGCTACAGACTGCTGACTTCCTACTGTATCCTTGCATGATAGAAAGAAGAGAGAATCATCAAGGTCCAAACTCTGATAAGGGCACTAATCCCATCCATGAGGGCTCTGCCTCGTGACCTCATTTAAACCTGATTACCTGTAGAAGGCACCACCAACTAAGTGCGGAGAGGGGCTCAATATACTAATCTGGGGAGACACAAACATGCACTCTATAACACAACTGGAAGAGGAAAAGAGACAGGGGTTTTATATACCCTACCCTCTAGACAAGAGCACTTAAACCACATACCAGAGGGTGCCAATGAGATTTTCAAAATAAGCAATTTCTTTTTTACATTATATAAGATTTGGGAGAATCTGAAACCCCTAATAGGCATTTAGTTACATCTCTGTGGCATTAAGTCACATAAAACAATGGAGAAAGTATAGACTGTGAAGAAAAGTTAAAATGCAGAATGAAGACTTCAATTCTGATTATTGTTGAGTTTCAAGCAGATCTAAAAAACAATGACAAATATTTCAATCTGAAAAACTGTGAAAAGCCATAAATAACACAGTAAAAAATAGGATGGAATGAAATCTCACATTTACCAAATACCAATAATGAAACAAACACAGCTGGGAACTATCCCATACATTGTTTCGTTCTCATGTGTAAACCTCAAGGTAGGAGTAACTCCTTTTTTTGCAGATGAAACACTAATAATGAGACGCCCAGGCAACTTATATTTCAAACAGTGGTCAGCCCCCAAACCCAAGCTCATTCTACAAAACAGTCCTATCAGAGTCTTCTTTATTTCTGTTTAGAATGATGAGATCTTTAAGATTAAACATGTCTAATTTAGCCAGGCCAGTGATACCAGAAGAAAGTTAGAAAATTGCCAAAGGGCTACAACCTCCCAAAAAGCACAGGCCTATAGATCGTTTCACAGGAGAATTCTATCAAAGATTCAAAAAATAGTGCATAATATTCCATAATATTTTTTACAAATTTAGCTGAACATTGATACCAAAACATAAGATTATGCCCTCCAAATAAATAAATAAACAATCAGGTACAGGTCAACTACCATTTATCAATAATATAAATGCTCATATTTTTATCTAGAATTTTTGTAAACAGATTTAGCAAATACTAAAAAAAAAAAAAAAAAAAAAAAAAGACTATCTTGTCTAAGTCCAGAAATGCAAGGGTGGATATATATTAGAAAAGAACTATCAATTTAAAGAAAAAATAATATAATCATCTCCACAGATGCTGAAAACTCAGGTAACAAAATTCAGCACTGATCATGATTTTTTAACCTCTTAGTAAGATTTTTTTTTAAAACATGTACTATCGGCTAGGCACAGTGGCTCACGCCTATAATCCCAGCACTTTGGGAGACCGAAGTGAGAAGACTGCCTGAGCCTGCGGGTTCGAGACCAGCCTGGACAACTTGGTGAGACTTCATCTCTACAATAAATTAAATAAATAAATTAGCCAGGCATGGTGGCACGTGCCTGTACTTGGAAGGCTGAGATGGAAAGATCGCCAGAGCCCAGGAGGTCGAGGTTGCAGTGGCTGAGAGCATGCCACTGCCCTCTAGCCTGGATGACAGACTGAGACTCCAACTCAAAAAATAAATAAAAACATGTACTATCTCAAGACAACTATAGCAATCTCATGTCAAAAAACAGCATCATATTTAAAGTAGAAATATTTTCACTAAAGTTAGAAATGACAAAAATGTCCACCTTTTTTTACCCCCAACATTATAAAGCAAGCTGCTGGTACCTATAAGTACAACAGGGGTCACCTCAAGTAAAGCAGTTTATACATCCAGTGGTGTGTTGATAAATGTGTTAACCATCAACCTGGAGAAGAGAAGGGCTATTTGTAGTGTTTGCCAATTTCCATGGTGTAAATACTCCCATCATGGTCAATTTCAGCAACGGCCATATTTAACAACCAGTTCACTCAATTCCCGCCAATGTAATAACCAGCTCTCATGAGCCAGTCCAAGCCAGCTCCAGCACACTACAGCTTACATCTAGACAATAATATAGATACATATGTGCTGATAAGAAATACTTTCCCAGATACATTTAAGAAGAAGAAGGCAAAAGTATTTATAATAGGCTTCTATCTGTATAACTAATTTTTAAAATGCATATACATACTTAAATTTGCATAGTCTATCTCTTGAAGATTATTCAAGATACCTGAGCAAGACTGTGGAACCGGAGTGGATGAGAAACTTCTCAATGTATACCTTCTAGTAAGCTGCTTGAACTATTTTTCCCCTAAATTACTTTTTAATAAAAATTACAATTTTGAAAAATTAAACATCACTAAATTTTCATTTTTAGAATATAATTCTTTTTTTTTAGTATATACTTTTCCCTTTTTTGGCACTTAAAACAATCCTCACTACATTTAACAACTCCTAACCAAAACTGGTTCAGTAAACTAAATTAATTGAAATTAGAAAGATAAATTTGTGGCCGGACTCAGTGGCTCAGCCTGTAATCCCAGCACTTTGGGAGGCCGAAGCGAGATGACTGCCTGAGTTAGCAGGTTTGAGACCAGCCTGGGCAACGTGACAAGACCTTGTCTCTACGATAAAATTAGAATAGCCAGGCGCAGTAGCGCGCGTCTAGTTCCGGCTACTCGGAAGGCTGAGGCAGAAGGATGGCTGGAGCCCAGAAAGTCGACACTGGAGTGAGCATGCATGCCACTGCACTCCAGCCTGGGTAAAGGAGTGAGACTTCAACTCAAAAAAAAAAAGAAAGATAAATTTTTGCATTTTGATTTTTTTTCCCCAAATTAGCCTAAGTAACAAAATTGCTGTGGTGCAATTTACCAAAATAAGACACTTACCAAAATAAGTACACAATCATTTCACCCACAAATGCTTTTTGTTAAAAAATAAAGCCAAGTATGCAAAATATACTCAGAATATCCTTAAAACAGCCCAGTATTCATGAATTCACACAGCAAGACCATTTTGTACCTCCCAGGCCTCACACAATTTCACATGGAAATCATCAGGATCTAATTAGTGACTTTGAGAAAGGAAGCAATAATAGAGTGCAGTGGAGCAGTCTGCAAAATGTATAGGTCACTAAAGGTCACCCATAGCAACAAGGCTTCTCGTCTCAGATTTGCAGTATGTCACGTGCCAGACTCCTTAGACTCAACAGGCAGTTCTGTACATCCACAAACAAGGAGCTTGTTTTCAATCCTTAGTAGAGGCTGCCCTCTTGTCTAGTTTGACTTCCTCTCAATTTTTAGTGTCAGAAACATCAGGAAATAAAATTCAGGGTTAGACTGATGTTTCCTCCCCCTGCTTTTCCACCTCCTGCTGTGCCAGGAAGTAGCATTAAAGTTCCGTCATGTGGTTGCCCAACAGGACACAGGAAGCCAGGACCTTACAACCTGATGACTAGTGAGTGCAATGCAGAGACGTGGAGCTGAGGCTCAGTTACGCAAGGAATAGCACTGAAATAAAAAGGTCGCTGAATCACCAAGGACGACATTTAATAGGTTTTTCCTGACTGTGCAACATACAGATGACATATGGATACCCACACTTAGAACAGTTTTTTCTTTACCATGACAAGTCATTCAACAATAGAAATATAAAAATGGAAATTTAAGATAGGGGAGGGGATATCTATTCTGTTATCTTCTGCGCTCTTCCATATCTAAAGGATTCCTCATCTGCCCCACCATCAACACAAATCTGAAACCATTTGGTAAATGTTAAGACAAGCATTAAATCTGGAGGGACTGGCCGGGCTCGGTGGCTCAGCCTGTAATCCCAGCACTTTGGGAGGCCGAGGTGAATGGATTGACTGAGCCCGCGGGTTCGAGACCCACCTGGGCAACTTGGCGAGACCTCATCTCTACAATAAATCAAAAAAATTAGCCAGGTGTGGTAGTGCACGCCTGTAGTTCCAGCTACTCGGAAGGCTGAGCCGGAAGGATCGCTGGAGCCCAGCAGGTCGAGGCTGCGGTGGCCGGGAGCGGCCACGGCACTCCAGTCTGGGCGACAGAGTGAGACTCCAACTCAAAAAAATAAAAATAAAAATAAAATAATAATAAATCTGGAGGAACTAAGACCAAGTTGGGGGGGGGAAGGACAAGAAGAAATTAAGGAGCAAGCAAGTGGTAACACAAATCCACACAGAGCTCTGTGGTATAAGAAACATGAACATTATTCCTTAAGACAGATTTTCATGATATTTGGTAACTTCGATACTTGCAAAATAGTAATAGATTTTTAAAAACGTAATGTCTTAAAATTTTTGTAACCAAGGTCAAACGAGGCAGTAAAATAGACATACTAAAGAGTTTTAAATGATAATGTTTATTACATATATAACAAATAATTTTTATATTAATGTATATTAACTTAAGAAATTCAAGAGACTTAAAGTCATAACTTTCAAGATGACCTAAAATGCAAATCACATAAGCTAAAATTATAAATTAATGTGACCAGAAGTCATAGTAAATATGAACTCATATGAAATCAACACATTTCTAATGTATTCTTCATTCAATACTGCTGAAGAGCAAAACCATGCAATCAAAAAATCAAATGTTACACGAAGAAATGATATATGCTGGAACACAAATGGTCTTCAAACGAGATAAACAGATAACAGCATTTATCATTTTTATAGTCTGAAATAAGAGATGCAAAATACAAAACAAAACAGCCATGACATTCAGCAAGTATATATGAGTAGACGAAAACACATCATTTATTGCTTGATTCAGTGCTTAAGCTTAATAAATAAATGGTTCAAACTCCACTTAAAATCAGAAATACAGATACATTCAATCACAAGCAGTCAGACCCAGGTGAATATTAATCATTACCACTGCAAGAAGAGTACTACAGATCCATAAAATTCACCTTAAGATGAGCATTAACCAATGTGATCTTTTACATGGATTGACTATCGTTTTAAACTCCACGCTATTCTAAAAAATACCAGACAACAGTTAACTGTGCATAGCATAAAATCACAAATACCAGAAGGGTCCAGTGGCTCATGCCTAAAATTTCTGCACTCTAGGAAGCCAAGGCAGGAGGACTGCTTGAGCCTAGGAGTTCAAGACCAGCCTGGGCAACACAGCAAGACCTCGTTTCTACAAAAATCAAAAACTTAGCCAGGTGTGGTAGCACATGCCTGTAGTCCCAGTTCCTCAGGAGGCCGAGGCAGAAGGGTCATCTAGGCCCAGGAGGTCAAGGCTGCAGTGAGCAGTGGTGATACCACTGCACTACAGCCTGGATAACAATGAGACCCCTGCTCAAAAAAAAAAAAAAAATCACAAACACCAATATCCTGTCCTGGGTAAGAACTGGCGTATCTCACTTACCGTTTTCCACATAGGGATGAAAGGGCAGGACCAGGGCAAGGATGACCCTGCCTCTAGTTGGCTCCAAGACACTTCTGATATCTTTTAACAAAGTCAGGGGCTGATCACAGCGGTCCAGCAAATTTAAGCAACTGATGACATCATACTGGAATCCTGTATTCTGCCATTCATTTATACCAAGCACTCTGAAAAAATTAGAAAGAACTGGATTAATATAACTCTCCTTTAAAGACATGATAAAAATAATAATTGAGATGCCAGTAAAGACTCTAACTTTATCTTCTAAATCAAAGTAAATTCAAAATCATCTCTTATAATTTATATTTGGTGTAATAAAATGGCCAGGCAAGAGAAAAATAGCAACCATAATTCTTTCAATTTAGCACTTTACCTATTTCCAAATCTCAAAACTCACAGAATTTCTTTTACAAGATTTAATTATATGTTTAATAAGTATGAGGACACAGGTGATAAAAATGGTTATAAAACTAAGACAACAAATTCTTGAACATCAGCTAGTAAACAAGAGAGTCCTGCTTTTTAATCATGCATTGGAATTTAATCATAAAACACATCACATATTCATGTGTTTTATTCCTAGGGTCCCTCCCATTTTTAAGAATGGCTGGGGGTGGTATAAAATAATTTCTACTGCTGGGCACGGCAGCAGTATAATCTCAGCACTTTGGGAGGCTGGGGCGAGAGGATTGCCTGAGCTCATGGGTTCGAGACCAGCCTGAGCAACTTGGCGAGGCCTCACCTCTACAATAAATCAAAAAATTAGCCAGGCATGGTGGCTCATGCCTGTTGTTCCAGCTACCTGGAAGGCTGAGATGGAAGGATCGCCAGAGGCCAGCAGGTCGAGGCTGTGGTGGCTATAACTGTGCCACTGCCCTCCAGCCTAAGCAACAGAGTGAGACTCCAACTCAAAAAACTAAAATAAAATAAAATAACTTCTACTTATAACCTATGATCTTTTGAACATATCTCTCTTTTCAGGAGAGAGATATTGTTTCATATTCTAGAATTTTCACATCTGAATAACAGAAAAAGATAAAGCACAGAGTATCCTATTAAAATTGCAAGTAAAGAGCCTGACTAAAATTACCACTCTCACACACACAGAGCATTTTTAGTCCTCTACAATGTTTTTATCTACAGAAAGGGGGAGTTTTTATATCAAGAGCCTTTTGTGAGCCACACATTAAGGCAATTCTACAAATCACTTACTCCTGCTTGTGTATACTGATCAGAATGTGGTAGGTAAGACACAGACACAGATAAAACAGGTGTCTCTATGATAGAGACAGGTGAAAAAGGGAACATGAAAAAGGAGAACAAGACTATGCAATCAAAATATCAAATCTTTGGATACAAGTCTTTAATAATACTGAACAGATACAATAGAAGTATCTCAGAAAATTCTAAAAGTATAATGAGGGATATATGAAAAACTCATTAGCATAATGGTATCTTATAGCATTTCTGAATAGCAGAATAAAAAAAACACAAGGCATTCAGTTGATTATATTTTTATAAAACTAAAGCCTCCTTCAAACAACAGTACAACAAACTCAAGGGACTAGCCAGATTCCTTAGTTATACAGGTGTTTAGTGGCACTCAAGATTGTTTGAAATAAGTAGGGCATTAGAGCTTCAAAATCACTTGTACTGAAATCAATTGTGATAATAATTTTAAAAACTGGGCTGGGCATGATGGTTCATGCCTGTGACCCCAATGCTTTAAGGAAGTCGAAGTGGAAGACTCATTTAAGACTAGAAATTCAAGACCAACCAGGGAATATAATGAGACCCGGTCTCTAAATAAAAGTAAAAATTGGCCAGGTATAGTGGCGCTCGCCTGTAGTCCTAACTACTCAGGAAGCTGAGTCAGGAGGACTGCTTGAGCCCAAGAGTTCAAGGTTGCTGTGAGTTATGACTGCACCACTATACTCTAGTGTGGGGCAACAAACCTGTCTCAAAAAGACAAACAAACTGAATTTAGCTCAAAGAACAGTTTCAAAACACTACTGAGGAGATTCTACTTTCAGAATAAAAATTTTATCAACTCCCATTTTTAAACCTAAATGAACAATTAAAAAGAACTATTCTACGAGGGGGACTCCAAAAATTCATTTTTTATAAATACAATTATTTATAAAAAATTGTATATTCTTACATGTTTAAACTTCAATCACCTTCAAAGTACTCTGTCTGATGCAATACACCTACTGAGATGCTTTTCCAACTGCTCAAAACAGTTTTTAAACTTTCAATTTTGATGCTTTTTAGTGCTTCTGCTGTTTTTTTGTTTCACCTCTTCCACATCGGCAAAATGTTTCCCTTTGAGAACTTTTTCATCCGGGGAAACAAAACAAAAAAATCATTCAGGGCAAGATCAAGCGAATAGGATTGGGGCATGAGGGCCATGCTGTTTTGGGTCAAAAACTTAACACTTAACATGGTATGGGAGGGTGCACTGTCGTGGTGGAAGAACCACTCATCTGTCTGCCACAACTCGTGATATTTCTTCTGCAAATCGTGAAGCAACCTTCTCAAAACTTCCAGATAAAACTTTTGGTTCTGTTTGATCTAGAGAAACAAATTCTGAGTGTACTACAAGGGACACTCCTCCAAAAGATAATTTTTGGGGGTTTTTGTTTTTGTTTTAGTCGCCCCTCATAGATTAATGCTTTTGCTAAACAGTCAATTTAAAATCATAAATTGCAAAAGCAGATGATATACCTGATTTTAAAAAAACAAAAATCTTAGGTGTATCTGCAATGAAGCAGAAGTCAAACATCATCAGCATGTTCTAATCTAGAATAACCTCACTAAACCTATCTCAGAATTAGTTTCTGATAGATAGTTTCCATGCTGGCAATTTGAAAAGGGAAATATATGCTCATATCATAAAATTATGACTTTAATGCTGGGATAGTTAAACCTATACCTATAGAAGTGCTACTTCATCTTTACTTCTGTTTTGTGTTTTTATTTATAGACCTCATTTCACTGATGAAGACAAATTTATTAGCCCCACTCAAACTACATATTAGCCTAGGAATCTTAGCAAGTTGTTAGAATTTTCCTCTTTTATAAGATAATGAAAGAAGTGACTTGTCCAAGTTCACAAGGCAAATCACTGTCACGGTAGAAATTCTAACTTGGAAATTCTACTATATTATTGAGGTCAGTAAACCTGCACTTTCCACATAAGGTGAGAAAGAACTTGACATCATTCTTTAAATAAATTCTTTCATCTTTGTAGGGTGAGAGTGAATGGCAATCTGTATTTCAGTCTCTTTTTTTCATTAAAATAAGAAAATAAAGAGAATGTTAACGAGACACAGAATCCTAAACTAGAACATTTTCTTTTTAAGATTCCAAACCTATACATATAGCTAACTAAAGTAAAGCATCTTTCAAATTTCCCCTTAAAAATCTTTGTTCTTTAGTGTAAGAAATGTCCTCACAACTCCCTTTTGATCACTGGCATATGAACTATCGATGCGCAGGTTCATTCCAAACTCATTCCCATCACGATGCAATCTCTTGTCCCACACTTTTTTCCCTCCACCATGTACTAACCACCATTCACAGCATATAAATTACTTTTAACATTCACTTTTGGTAAAGCGGACTGAGGAACACAAGCATGCTGCCAAAACTTTTTCCTGCCAAAAGAGAATAGTTTTTTGCTTAATGTCATTTGAATTGTGGAATTGTTCATAAATTGCACACAGGCAAGAAAAAACTGTGTAATTATTTCCTACATCTATGGCTTTTCTAAAACAGCATTTCTAATCTTAGAAAGAGGGTATCTCTTCAGGGGATTATTATCTTCAAGAAAATGACTTTCAGCCGGGCTCGGTGGCTCAGCCTGTAATCCTGCGCTTTGGGAGGCTGAGGTGAGTGGATTGCTTGAGCCTGCGGGTTTGAGACCCGCCTGGGCAACTTGGCGAGACCTCATCTCTACAATAAATCAAAAAATCAGCCGGGTGTGGTAGCGCATGCCTGTAATTCTGGCTGCTCGGAAGGCTGAGGCGGAAGGATCACTGTAGCCCAGCAGGTCGAGACTGCAGTGGCCGGAAGCAACCACTGCACTCCAGTCTGGGAGACAGAGCGAGACTCCAACTCAAAAAAAAATAATAATAATTAGCTGGGTGTGGTAGCGTGCACCTGTGGTTCCGGCTACTTGGAAGGCTGAGGCGGAAGGATCGCTGGAGCCCAGCAGGTCGAGGTTGCGGTGGCCGGGAGCAGCCACTGCACTCCAGTCTGGGTGACAGAGTGAGACTCCAACTCAAAAAAAAAAAAAAAAAAATTAACTTCAGTTGGGCACAGTGGCTCACGCCTACAATCCCAGCACTTTGGAAGGCCGAGGCGAGAGGATTGTCTGAGCTCGGGGGTTCAGGAACAGCCTGGGCAACTTGGTAAGATTCCGTCTCTACAATAAAAAGAAAAAAATTAGCTGGGTGTGGTGGCGCAGCCTATAGTTCCAGCTACTTGGAAGGCTGAGGAGGAAGTATCACCTGAGCCCAGCAGGTCAAGGCTGTGGTGGGCATGAGCATGCCACTGTACTCCAGCCTGGGCAACAGAGTGGGACTCTGACTGAACCAAAGAAGAAAGAAAATGAATTTCAAGTAATACTTTTCCTTCCAGAAGGACTTAAAATACATTTTTCCTTAGAGCATGATAAAACAATCAGTATTTTGATAAATCCTTTAAAAAAAAACAACCAACAATATGAAGAAAAGTTACTGTTTTGCTTTAAAACCAAAGCCATGTCCTTAAATTTTATAATAGGGTTTTCTAGCATAAACAATGACATCTTGGCAATACAAAGGAAAAACCTGGCTGCTTTCTGTTTATTGACCTATTTTTAAAATACCAGCCAGGCCGGGCACAGTGGTTCATGCCTATAATCACAGCACTTTGGGAGGTAAAGGCAAGAGGATTGCCTGAGTCCAGGAGATTGAGATCAACCCAGGGACCATGGTGAGACTTTGTCTCTACAAAAAAATTAAAAACTTAGCCAGGCATGGTGGTGCATTCCTGTAGTCCCGGTTACTTGAAGACTGAGGTGGAAGTGGAGGGATCGCCTAAGTCCAGCATGTCAAGGATGCAGTAACCTTGAGTATGCCACTGCAATCCAGCCAGGGTGACAGAGTGAGACTCCGACTCA